ACAGCAACACGACCAACATGTCAGCTCACCTGCGGAGACATCATCCCAGTGATGACGGGGTGCGAGACCAACATATACCGAACCGAAAACCGTGACCACAAAACTGTGAACCGAACCGAACCGTGGGTATTGTGAATCGTTATATTCACAATACTAATACTAATAAATACTAAATATTTCAATATTTGAACAGAGCCAAGTTCGCTCACCTTTTGTGCAGGTGTTCCTCTCTCGGCATCGGGCGACCGAACGCAGTGGAGTAGTTCTCAGTGGGGCAGCGTTTAGGACTGGACTTCGCAGACAGCGGCATGAGTAAAGTTTCTCTCTTTGCTGAATGGGAGGAAAATAGCACACACTTTAATTAATTTTTTTATTTTTAATTAATTGAAACTTTAATACACCAACACACCATTAATTAAAAACTACATTCTCCAGAGAGTTTGTAGTTAAATTGAGAAAAATGTAATTGTCTTGATTAAGAATTTATCGGGTTAGTGTTTAACTATACTATTTATAGTTTTTGGTTTGGCAAACAGCATCAATCACAACTTAAATGTGTGTTTATAAGAGCAAGTACAGTATGTAACCTTCTGTGTTTATTGTTAGTCAGTTCTCTTAAGTTCATCTGTCCATAATGTGAAATATAAAAAACTTTACGCATGTACAGAGCATCTTAAAACACATTTTTACTGATGCATTTAATTTGTTTCTGACTTTGTCTTCACACACACACACACACACACACACACACAGTAAAAACTAGTTTTGTGTGTTTGTAGTAAAGAGAAACCTCCGTTCTGTCCCCTCCTGCCTTTGTGATCACCAATATTTTGTTTTTGTTTTATGTTCTCATTTACATATTTTTCTATTTCTGTTGTCAGACAACAGAACAAGGCTTAAATCTGATTGCGGCTCATAAATACCACGTTTACCAGCGGTCATTAGCGAGCTGCTGAGCTGCAGGTAAAATCCTCAGACAAAATAAATATAAATTCAGGTTAATGAGAGCAGCTGTGCTGTGAGGTCGACCGCACCGGTATTTAAAATGAGTGATGACGGAGAAGGTTTTAAACAAGTAACAGCATCTGTCAGCATCTAAATGACCTGCAAACATGTATTTATGTAAGAAAAATATCAGACTTTAACTTTAACTACATTATACATGTTAATAATTACAGACTTGGTGTAAAGGTGAGTGTGAAGAGCTCGGGCGGACGTACTGGGCGTAGTCGGGGGTATGTTTCGATGTGCCGGAGGAGGCAGGGAGGAGGATCTGTGGCCCTCCGGAGACAAACTCCTCTGAGCTATCAGCAGAGCTGTGGCTGTTTCTGCTCCGCTGAGACTTTTCCCTCCTCCTCCTCCTCCTCGCTCAGCTCTGCTCACAACTCCTCCAGGTTTGACCACCTCCCTGTCAGCCTGAAGCCCCGCTCGCTCCTGAATCACATCTTTGTGCCTCCGCTCCACAAACCCAACTGTGGTCCTCTGATTGCCGACCCCTGCAGAGAGAAACCACACGAGCGTTACTTTCAGTGATCCACAGGAAATTAATTAAATATTTTTCTTTCTTATACCAGTTCAACAATCAGTATTAACAGCACAAAGAAAAGAAAATACACAACAATTAGACTATTGTTGAGAGTAACATAGAGTCCATAATAATCAAAGTTAACCACCGCACACTGGAATGACTTCATTGGGATTTATTAGGAGCAAACGACGTGTTTCGCCTGTAACTTCTTCAGGTTCGTGCAGTAAGAATAAAGTTCATATTGCAGTTAATGCTTTATATCACAAATACGTACAGTCGGTGTGAGAGTGTACGGCTAAAATACATACAACTAAAATATGATTAAAACAGTATTAAGTCAAAATAAATCTGACTTAAATGAAAGAAAATAGATATGATTAAAGAAAATATACATTATTATCTCTCAAGGGGAAACAAATGATCTGTGTGTGTCTATTCATGAAAGGCACACAATCAAGATGAAGGAAATAATAGATTCTCCACATAATCAATAAAAGGAAAGCAGATTCAATTATAAGTGAACCACAGTTTTCTTAATTTGAAGACAAATCGTGACCTTTTTGATCCTTCGTATAAAGGATGCAGCTTCTACCTAACGAGGATAAATTTACCAATTATTCCCATAAATAGATTTATTGTGTTCAGATACACGAGAACGCTTCAGATATGGAGGTCCAGAAATCTTTTAATGAAGATGCACGAAGCAGCTAGCATCAGAACTGGAATACAATCTTAAAGACAAACGCAAATAAAAAAAGGAATAAATTAAATTAATAGATATTAGCTCATCTTCTGAAACATATTCTAGTTAGAGATTCTCAGTTGGTTGGTTTTATTTGTCTTTTTTATTACTTATAATAAGTTATATAAGTGTTAAAGGCGTCAGCTTGAGGGTGATGGGCATTATTCACTATTTTCTGATATTTTATAAACATGCTGACATTCAATTATTTGAAAGAGGAATCAGAAGTTTCATTGCTAATAAAATAATCATTAGTTGCAGCCCTAAAAAGAATATAATTTTCACATCTGTATGTCTAGTTTGTTTTTCGCAACCTTTAATTTTCTATCTGTATCGTATATAAACAGACAAAAGGCACTTTTGATACTTGAGTAGTTATTTTTCCATCTTGTTCAGATGCAGATAAGAAATAATTGTACGTTTATAATAACAGGTACAGGTCTCTTTTTTTTATTTCCTCATTTATTCTAAGAAACATCTCAGACTTTGCTGTGATTGATCACTCTGAGCCGCGACAATAGTGTCCTGATTGGGTGCCAGAGTCGTGTCACATACTAGAAAAGTGATTGCAGCCATTGTTCCCTTTCGTTTCCTGCTGGAGTTGCAAGGGAACAGCCAGTTCGCTCGCTCGCTCTTTCTTGGAACAACCTCCAAGACACGCAGACTGCTTCTTCTCCTGTGCACTTTAATTTTCCAGAGCAGTGGCCACTTTATGTTTGATTTGTCTCAATAAATTGTCTCAAAACCTTTGAAAATAAAACTGGATAACGTTCGACTAGAGTGGGGTTCTTTAACTATGGGCACAGCTAAACATGGAGGGGATAGAAACTACACAATCTACCAGTGGTTTGGTTTTAAATCTGAGCATCAATGAAGTTGGTAACGTCTTGTGAGTGAGTGTGAGTCATACTGTGGGTGGTGGAGCTGTTCTTACAGGGGGCCCGGCTCTCTGTCGCTCTGGTCTCCTCCAGCTCTATCAGGGCCCTCATCATGGGCGTCAGGGCACAGGACGCCTCTCTGCGACCGGCCTCCCGCTGCCCGGCGCCCTGCTCCTGGTGTCTGGGCTGAGGCAGAGACTGTTCGCACTCTGGGGGAGACGCACACCTGCAGAACAGGATCTCAGTAAATCACCTAAAATCTTCACTGAATACCCACAACAATAAAAGAAAACTCACCTCCAGCTTCCACCGGCTGATGAGGCGTCCACAGAGCTTCCAGTCCCCGATGTTTGATCATTTAACGAATACTTTGACTTCTTGTGACTATTTGATTGGTTAGTTTGAGGGAAAGGAGATCTTCTGCCGCTGTTTATCTGGTCTGATAGAGGACATGGTGACTTCCTGCGGGTGACGTCTGGCTCTGCCTTGTTTTTACTGGGTGATAGCAGCAGGTCAGGATGGTGGAAAAGACTGTGGACATATTGAGAGGAAATTTACATTCAGGAATCACTTAATGCAGTAAAAAGTTTTTGTAATTCACTTTTTATTGCCAACAACTGACAGAACAAAGACACCATGGACAGAAAAGACAACAACATAACAATAAAACTATTAAACAAACAAGAAAATGCCCCACATATACTGTTTGACTCCTCAAAAACCTCAGCATCACTGAGTTATCATTCATAATGTGAGTGAAAATGGTAAGAATCACATTACCTATAACACTCACATATAGCAGCAGTGTCTGTCTCACCCTACCAACACCATCACAGCCTAATCTATCAGAATAAGACACTCATCCTAACAATAACATGACACACAATGTAGAAAAATGATTAAAATTAAATAGTTTTACCAGTTATTGCAAACTAGATAACATACGACTAGAGTGGGATTCTTTAACTACAGGACAGATGTGGACAACGCACTCAAACATGGAGGGAACAACAATAAACTGTTTATTTTTTATTTATTTTTTATTAAAGCGTTCTGTTTGGTTGACGGCAGCTGAACGAGAGACAAGGTAAACAAACTGTAGCCACGTGTAATCAGCAGACAGCGTGTTGTTGAACTGACGGTATTCCACAAATAAATCATCAGAACAAATACAAATATAACTTCCTCCCTCTTGGGTTCAGATTTTTCCTCTAAAAAAGAACACATGAGATGCAGATGTGTGTGTAAAACATGCTCACCCGGCCCCAGAGGGTTGCGTGTTACTGTGGGAAGCATAACGTGCCCTGGCCTGGTTCTCGTGCTCCAGCTGCTTCACCTGAGACTCCAGTTTAGAGATTACTCTGAGGGAGAGGCAAGATTTAAACATACAGAGAGACAGGTGACAGGTTAACCTCGCTTTCTGTTGACTTCTTCATATAAAATGTTGGTGTAAGATTCATAGATACAGTGACAGAGAAATGACAAACAGAGAGGCTGACATAAACTAAAGCTGAAGCATTTATCTTTTTGATTTGCATATTAGCAAGGCTGCCGGGCTGAATCTGTTCAAATCTATTATCAATCAAATGTTTTATTGAATTTTAATCCAACATTAACTTCAGTCTACAGCAAACACACATATATAATATCAATGGGTAAAATTACAAAATTGTACATTAAAGTTAGGAAGATCTTATAAAACTTGAGAGCTTCAGTTGTTTGAGTTGTGCTGTTACATCCTCCAGAGATGACAGTGCAGTGGAGAAAAGATACTTCCATCTCCTCACATGTAGACTGTTAAGAGTCCAAACTGTGCAGAAGACTATGAACAAAAAAATATACTGTTCTATTTTTGTAGAAACTGTTTTACGGAGGTTTTGATTCAGCTGAATGATCATTTTGGAGGAGGAAGTTTTCTCAAAATGCACTAAATGAGATTGAAAGAGTTTTTTTATTTGTCAGACAACAAAACATATTTTCTTTTTTATTTCTGTGGTTGAGTATAAACTGTTCTTATTCCCTATTCTTTGTAAAAGTGAAACTGAAGTCTTTGCTACTGACACGAGTGGCGTCGAACAATCGAAGTCAGAAGTAGATTTAAAAAGAAAATCACGACTGAATTTTCATTTCACCGATTTAAATCTTCACATATTTGTATTATTACATTCCTAATCTTAGGTGTGTGTGTTTAATATGTACTGTATGTGTATTTTTTTGGCATTGCAAAGCCGTTTTTGTAGCCTCTGGCTCGCTATATAAATACATTAATATCATTAAAAGTGCTTAAAGCATGCTGAGCTATTCTTTCTTTATGTACTTGCAAGTGAATTAACTTCGCTGAAAATGAAAGGAGCAAAATGACCCCAAAGCCGACCTTTATCTCAACACTTTGTCTCCTGTGGATTGTAAATTCTCTCCGCTGTCGCGATCCGGCTCTAATTTGCTTTTGCCTGTTTTAGTGTGATGGGCCTCAGTAACAATCTTTAGACTCCTCCTGCAGGTCTCACTGTGAGACTCCATTAGACCCTGAAGCTGCCAGTGTTCTTGCATATCTTACTGTAATTTACACACTTTTTTTCCCATTTTTGATGGTTTAACGTCGACTCTGTGTGTTTGACTGATCGAATGCCTGGAAGGATCCTCTTGTCACTACACTTTTCCCCAATTCATGTCTTTTCTGGGTTACCTCTCAGCTTCTGTGCTGCTCTTCCACTCAGCACGAAGGAAATTCTAACTAAAATGTTGTCCTAGCTCGACCTGTCTCATCTCATCTCTGAATGTTCACTTGTACATTGTACTTTCTTCTCTCCTAGATTCCCTCTTTTTAAAAGGCCACTTACAGATGTGGACCTCTCCATCCTTCTTTTCCCCTTGGCTGCCCTCCAGATCATTTGTTTCAGAGCTAAAGCCCTCCTGTGACACACATATTGATGTTTGGGCGAGCTGTAGTTTGCTAACTGTCAGTGAATCCGCTGAATCGACTTGACAGACTTCATCTATGCAGAGTCCATGCGTTGTCTCTATTGGTGCCAATTTGCATGCAAGAGCTGAAACTGCAAAGGCAAAGTTGCTGTGTGGTGTCAGCCAATGTTATTATCTATTTTCAACTGCACAGAGACCATCATTAGGCTCTATTGATTAATCCTCGCCCATCGATCTTCCTGCTGTCTCCCAACCTCCACTGCAGCTCTTTTACAAAACTGCTGGAGCCAGCCAATGACAATGTGATGCCGTTTGACAGTGATAAGCCTGAAGCTAATGACCACACTACAGCGCTAATGTCACAGCTCTGCTATGAGCTCCCTCTGCAGATACGATAACTCAGAAGAAGACACTATTTGGCTGTTCACATGTAGTTCTTGGTTTGTGTCTGTTAGTGTGAAGCTGTGTTCAATGTTACTCAAAATCTTCCGCACTAGATCATCAAGACGAGATTCGTATTTTAATTTTTGTTTAGTGTTTGAAGGATCTGTTCGACATTTTGGGAAACCAGACAGAAGCTGGAGCCAAGAAGTGCTTAGCTTAGTTTATCATTGGGCTGCAACTTACTTTTATTTTATAACAATTATTTTCATTATTGATTCATTTGATGATTTTCTAGATTCATTTATTAGTTGTTTGGTCCAGAAAATGACAGAAACTTGTGAAAAGTGTTGATCATTTTTTCTCAAAGGCCAAGGCGACGCAAAAATATTCCTTTCACTGTCATAGTGGACGAAAGAAACCAGAAAATATTCACATTTGAGAAGCTGAAATTAGAGATTTTTTCTAAAAGTAAAAAAATACAAAAAACGATGACTCTATTAACAAAACAGTTGGCAATTAATTGATTAATCCACTAATCGCTGACTGGAAACGGTGAAACAGCTACCCCAGCTCTGTCAAAAGGTAAAAGGTCATCTCGTCATTGCCGTGAAATTGCCAGGCAACCAGGAAAGACGCCAGGAATTCACCGCTTCCAGCCAAGCAACAGACCGGCACCTAACGCCTCACAACATAGTAGTTTCTGTACGGATTAAACACACCAGATATAACGCGTCATTCAGTGAGCTTTAGGAGTATTTTTTTAACCTCTGGACCGAGACAGGCTAGCAGTTTCCCCCCGTTTCCAGTCTTTGTGCTAAGCTAAGCTAACCGTCTCCTGGCTCCAGCTTCTCGTCTAAACCTCAGCAAGAAAGAAAACGAGTGTATCTTCTACCTTCAGACAACCGAAAAAAGTGATTTTATTGAGGTTGAGACACTTTTTTGTAGTTGTTCGATCCCTCCACACAGGAGTTTATGCAGTATAGCATGTATTAGAATAAAAGTGTTATTTCATGTGTTGTGTTAAACTAATGCACTCACCTCTTCAGGTCTGATATCTGCTCATTTGCATCGAAAAGCTTGTTCTCTGTTGACACAAAGTTGTTCTGTAGATACAAAAAACTGTTAAAAACCGCATGAGACTGAATGAAGGTGTGACATTAAGATCTTGTTTGTCGCTGTTTAAAATATCTTACACGTTTCAATGATAATCAAACAGTCAAACATGTAATACATCAGTTCCAGTAAGGGATTCATTACCTTCAGTCCCTCATGTTCCTTCACCAGAGAGTCGTATTCTCCGAGCAGCTGAGGAAACAAAACAGAGACCTTAGTGCTGACAGAGAGTTACGTAAAAGGGAACATGGCTTTAATCCAACTGACTCTCTTTTTCTCTTCCTTAAAATCTGTATAACAGTTTCTCGCTACACTGGAATCACTCGTTATTTAACTTAACATGAGGCTGTAACACATCACTTCCAGGCAAACAGGGATCTTTATCTTTATTTCTCCTTAGAAAAACCAAAACAATGAACAATGATAGAAAAGGAAAACGATTAGGAACCACTGAGCTAAATTACTCCAAAGATTTAATATAAAACACAGTAATAATGTTCCATTGAAAAGGGGAACTTTAGAGGTGAGATATTATGTACTAATATTCTCTTTAACAGCCCAGTCAGACTCACGTCCTGCAGCATCTTGTACTCTCGCTCCCTCCTGGCCTCCTTCTCGTCTGCCTCCCTGCCGGCTTTCTGCACCGTCTCCTCCAGCTGCCGTACGTGGGTCTTCAAGCGTGCTACCAGCGTGTCCTTATCTTTGCCCGAGCGTTTGCTTTCTTCTAGCCGCTGCTGCAAGGATTTCACAGTAGCTCCAGCTACGGCATACCGCTCCGGCCACTCTGCCTAACAGCAGAAAGTCACATCAAAGTTAAGGAATGTTTTATACAAATAATATATTAAAAAGTGAATGATGAAGCGACGGAGGGCAACATGAACTTTTTATTTTATTAAGCCACAGGCACATTATGTTAGCTAGAAAAGTATTAATCTTTCTCTCATCACAGAGCTTCATTGTGGATTCCTTAATTAGGGTCCATTCAACTTTTTCCACAGGATTAATTAAAGGATTGCAGATATCAGAGAGTTGTGTTTAATGATTTAAAGACCTTTTTGAAGGTAAGATCCAAGTGGCATTACAGGATTTGCTTACACAATGAGACCACATGAGAGGCAGCCAACTTGCTCTAATATAGTTGGTCCAGTAGGTTAAAATTCTTCTGATTCTTCTGACAAGTTAATGACTTTTAAGACCTTTACAAATTCAATTTAAGGCATTTATAGCCTGTAAGGGGTCCTGCTGACACTACCTAACCGTATGAAGTGTCATTTTATATTTATATCACATAATGTTGTTTGCTATATTAAGAAAAAACATTAATTACAACAAATACTGTAAAAGGATTTTGAGGAACGTTACCAGTTTTTTCTCCAGCGAGCTGTTTGTTGCCTCTAGTTCTTGAATACGACTGGTGGCCTCAGCCAGAGCTTTCTCTAGTTGCTTACACCTGTGCATGAAGAAAAATCACAACAGTACAGAGTTAGAAAACAAAATAAAGTGGACAAAACTGAAGTGTAATGTTAAGTTGGGGGAAGTGTGGGGTCTGAAAACTTTGAAAATGAATCATTTATGTCCTCAAAATCGAGTCAATACCTCAGAATGAACGGCCTGTTTAATGTAGTCTTTAAATGGCTTGAGTACTTCATTTACAAGAATGAATAAATGATGATACAAACCTCTTTGAGAGGGCCTGGTTGCTCTTCTCTAAGTCCTGGGGCAGATCGCTGAGCTTCAGTTTGTCTCGCAGGATTTGGATCTCAGACTCATAATATGCTTTCAGATCAGCCACGTGTCGAGAGTGCTTCTCTCTCAGGTTCTGCCTTAGTCTGGGGAGGAAAAAGGACAAGCAGAAGATGAATGAAACTGCTATCATGAGCTATCCTGACACCAACACTGCAAACAAAACTGACTCTACAACACAGAGTAAATACAATGTCAACGTGTTTAATGACAGAGGAACAACACAGGAAGCAATACTGGGTGCTGCAGTTAACTGGTTACCGACTGGTTTGACATGTTTGTGTCCATGTGATGAATATGAATCCAATATTCACTCTCTTTGAGATGTTTTTGGATAAACAATGAGCTGAAACTCATTATGAAGCTCCATAAAGCGGAGGGGAGCCGCAGATTCAGGGGGTAATTCTCTGTAGGTTCATCTATACAAGCGAGCTCTTTGTTTTCACATCGTCGTTCTAAAAAAAATGGATTATAGTTGTTTTAAGAATTGATTTCCTAAGGCCTTG